ATAAATAAATAAAATCTTAAAAAAAAAAAAAAAAAGCAGGACTTTTTGCTCTCTCTGCAGAATCTGAGGCAGGAATTTTTATTATTTGTGTTTACTTATTTATTTATTGAATTTATACAGTGCCTTTTCTCCAAAGGAGCTATAGAAATGGCAACAAATATGGAGCATCCAAATGTCATCACTTAGCTTTATAACAATAAAATGTACAGGTCCAAGGAAAGGGTAGGCAGGCCCATGAAGGCATATAAAAGGGAACTCTAGGACAATGTGAATTCTTATGTAACAGACAAGCTACACAAGTTCGGTTCACTTAGTTTTTTTCTCAAGTGTCACATGTCTTTGGCAGGGTTTGGTGGGAGCGGGGGAGGGGGGGGTGTTTTCTCCTAAAAGATACTATGGCTAGCAGGGTTACCTTTTTTTTTTTTTTAAGATTTTATTTATTTGACAGAGAAAGACACAGCGAGAGAGGGAACACAAGCAAGGGGAGTGGGAGAGGGAGAAGCAGGCCTCCTGCAGAGCAGGGAGCCCGATGCAGGGCTCGATGCAGGGCTGGATCCCAGGACCCTGGGATCATGACCTGAGCAGAAGTCAGATGCTTAATGACTGATCCACCCAGGCGCCCCATATCAGGGTTACCTTTAAAATCCACGTACTCTTCTCCAGAACTCTTCCAGGGATCCTGTTCCCAGAAATGCTGTGCTTTCCCGCGATAGAATTACTAACATTTTTAAAGCCCAACTAGATCTTATCAGAAGAGGGGGGAAAAAAGGAATTCAGTTTATCCTCATTGGGTGTTAATGACCCTGTAAGATATAATTTCTTTTATTTTATTCTGTTACCTAGAAAATCTATCACAGCCTTGTAGTATTGATTGTTCAATCTATAAAGAGCTCAGTTTACAGCATGACTGTTAGTAACAGGGTTATTTTAATGAGTGAGTCTTCAACACCTCAGATTCTCACTAAATTGCAACCCATCAGCCTAACAGTCTAACACTAAGTGTCTTCCGTGATGAGAGTTTATCTCCCTTCCCTATCATGAGAAGGTAATGTCCAGGTAACCAAAAAGAAAACTCGTTCTGTGTTGTTTATACAAAAACTCCTGTCCATTGGCTTGGGTCGGCCATGTCAAATAAAAAGCCGAGCTAGAGGCACAACTCATCCTTAGATACATCAAATATCTGACCAAGGAAGATCTCCAAACAGGTTGTTTTCACTCTAAAATTGTGGGCAAACTCAGCCAAAAAGGAGCCCACAAGCGGTAATTTCTGCAGGGCAGAAATGTGGTCACTGATGAGCTTCCACCACTAAGGCACCTTTCCATGTTAGTTCATATACCAGTGGAGTGATTCCACGAAAGAAACAGGGAAGCCACAGAGGGCTTTGCAACTCTTACTTTTTGAAACCTGTTTCCCAAGACCAAACATAAGTTGAGCATCAGCCAGCTACAATTTTGGCCCAATAAAAGGAGCATAGGAGATGAAGATCAGGATCTGTGAGTGTTCTCCATCCAGTTCAAGATCAAACTTACAACATTAAGGACCATAGAAATTTCAAAACTCAAGATTAAAGGGCTATGAAAACAAGCAAATGGTAATGTTCAGCAGCTCTTCCTGTTCTAGTGTCTTAGCCAGCGGAGCTTGGCAAATTTCTTTTTTTTTTCTTTTTTTTAAGATTTTATTTATTTATTTATTTATTTATTTATTTATTTATTTGAGAGAGGGTGCATGAGCGTGGGGAAGGGGCAGAGGGAGAGGGAGAAGCAGGGAGCCCCATGCAGGGCTCGATCCCAGGACCCTGAGATCATGACCAGAGCCAAAGGCAGACGCTTAACTGACTGAGCCTCCCAGGCATCCTGGCAAATTTCTTTATGCCTTTCGTTCTGAAACAGTAAGGTATCGGACTGAGTCTGTTTTAATGGACTGAACATGGTGGACTTCTCCAGCCTGGCTCAGAAAATACTCCAATTCCCTTCCAGTGGGTCACTGCTTTGGCCTTCTATGTCCATTTCTCACCTACCCATGGTCTAGCAAGGACTGGCTTTATCCATCTTCTCATTCTGTCTCTCTTTTCCATAATTTGTTAAGTAGTTGCTCCAATAACCAGGTCTCATTAGCACAGCCCCTTGGTTCATCAAGCAAATGTAAACAACATGCTGACCTGCCTTTTAGCCTCTCTTTCTTGGTCACAACTTGAATTCTGGAGCTACCCAGTGTCTCCCAAACAAAAGCCCAAGGTGACATATGAATTCTGGACGGAGCACAGTCAAGTTCTGTTGTCTCTAAGGAGGAGGACAGGCAAAAAGGTATCCTGGTCCTTTTTACCTTGGAACTCTCCATGTCATAGAGGCTCATTTTCAAATTCTGACCCTGTCAACAGTAGTACCAACCTGGCCTCCTTTACAGGAGAAATGACTATTACTGGTTATAAAGAACTTGGTGTGCAATGGCAAATGCTTTGCAATAAATACCTAGAGAAGAGAGAAAACAATATATTTTTAAACTTAGACTATCGCTATTCTTCCTATGACATTTTGTTTGCTGGGAGCTTAGCTTCTCTTACATGGGATAAAGAAAATAAGATGCTGCCCTCCCTTTTTTTTCTCTAGAAAAAGTCCTTCTCAGCTCTGCTTGCAATTTAAATGCAGTGATCATACCCATTAGCTTCTCTATCATTGTAATTGTTGTTAATTGTTATAACTGTTTTAGTTATTAGTGGTGTCATTATTGCTCTAGGTCCTCTGTCTGTTTTATGCTGAATATATTAGTGCTTTGCTTTTGAATTACCAGGCTTTATTTAGTGCAGAGTTACGTTTTTTGGAGAGACATTGAGAAATGCTAGCATTAAGCTTTATTCTTTTGTTTTTCATTCCAAATGGACAGACTGGAAAAAAAATAATTAGATGGAATAATGTCCTCAAAATGAGAATGAGGATGCTTTGAATTAATTAAATGGTCAGAATGCTGCACCATGTCTGATCTCAGACTGCTGCTAGAGTCGTGTAA